GAGAGGAGAGGGAAGGAGAGGTGAGGAGGGGAGGAGAGAGCAGGCAGGCACAAAGGCAAAGACAGGAGAGTCTACAGGAGGCCTTGGGTACAATTGTAAACGTAGCAACAAACACATCTTTAGCACTGACTGAGCCAGGCTCTGTTCTCAGGACTTTGTAACTATCTCATTGTTCTCACAACTGTCCGTCAAAATAGAGATGCTGTCATTTTATCTCCATTTTGTAAATGAGGAGACAGAGGCAGAGAAAGCACACAGACAGCGAGTTCCTGTGCCGCGGCTGGCGCCACGTTCCGCTTCTCAGCCTCTGCACGCCCTTTCTTTTCTAGGCAATGCGGCTGGACTGTGGTGAAGACAGAGCTCCAGGAAGGTCAGGGCTGCCTGGATGGGTGACTGGGAGTCAAGGGGAACCTGGGAGATGGTGGCTCCCATGAAGGAGACAGAGAGGAGCTTCCTAGCTGTGCAGGAGAAGCTGAGGCATACAGTGTGCTGCTGTGGCTTCAGGGCCCGTGGGCAGTGGTCTGGTGGCTGCCTCTCACTCCCCACCCCCAGACACCTCCTCAGCCACAGGGAGAGGGATAGATTCTACTGCCGTGTCAATGGCTCCACTGCCTGGCCTGACTCTTCGGTGGCACTGCCAGAGTCCAGAGTCCTCTGGGTGTGTGCTCATGCTCGGATGCATAGCTGGGAGCCTGAGAATTAAGTGGCGTGCAGCCAGGGCTACTCAGCTCAGGTCCCGGGTGGTCCTGTGGAGAGACTGTGACTCACCGGCCACTGGGGTGACTCAGGGGCCAAGGCTGTGCATTGTCATCACTGCCATGAAACCTCTGACGCTGCTCGGCCATGCTGTTGGAAGACTCCAGTGCGTCAGACTGAAAGAACTCACCTGGAGTTCAGGCACTCTGGATTTGGGTTTTCCTCTGTAGTCAGAGCAAAGGAATGATAGCTTCAAAGAAGGCAGCATGACTAGAGTTTGACATTATTTAGTGGGAATTGGAGCACTGGTGAAGGCTTTGAGCCAGGAGTGGGCTGAGCGAGTGTGGCTTGTAGGGTCGGTGTCTGCAGCTGGGAACGGTGGTGCAGAGCAGTGGGAGTAGGTGGCATCACTGGCCGGGGCAAGACCTGCACTGAGGTGAGGCAGCAGGAACAGAGCATACGGGGGAGATTCTGGGTGGGCAGAACTTGAGAGAACAACTGGATGTACAGAGGAGATAAGGAATCAAATGGTTGCAGGGATGTTTGGCTACGTGGGTGTTCTTGCTTGTACAGGACGTGGGGATGCAGGTTTTGGTAAGGACAGTCTCAGGGCAAAGAGAGCAGCTAAGTGGGCAAGTCTTCAGGACGTACATCCCAGCTCTAACGGTTCTAATCCCAGCTCTGCCACTTGCTAGTTGTGTGGCCTTGGGCAAGCTATTTAACTTCTCTGTTCCTCAACATCATTCCTATCTGTAATTTGGGTCTCACAATAGCACCTACCTCTTAAGGTATGTGGGAGGCATTTGAAGGCATAAGTAGCCTTCGAGCAGAGTCAGACAAAGGAACATTATGGATGGAACCTGTCTGACACTATCACTTTGTGGAGTCACAGCCAAAGAGCAGGTAACACTGCAAACCTCAGTGGTGTCTCCAGGGAAAGACATACAAAAGGAAAAGGGGCTCAGGTTGCTGGGAAGAATGTCCTGGGTTGAGGCAGAAGGGCAAAAGAAAGTGTATAAAGGTGGCAAACAGATGGGTTCTGACAAGGTCACAGAGCTAGAACAGGACAGAAATAATGCAGGTCTGGAGACATCACACAGCCAGCAGGGATGGAAGTACGGGATGGGCTTGGGAGTCTCATGATTCTGGGTAAGTCATTCGTGTTGTTTCTGGGCTCAGCACATTGAGGCAGTTATCAAATCCCCACATTCCCCTCATATGAGTCCTGTGATTCCTACTCCACTGATGAGGTGAGTGAGGCACACAGATGACTAACATGGCCATGGTCATGCGGTGAGTAAGGGCTGGAGCTGAGAGTCAGGCCCAACTGTGTAGGATTCAGAAGGTTGGGACTTTAATCACAGCTTGTTACTGACTCATGGCAGGAAAAACTTCAACACACTCTCCTCCATTTCCTTCACCACCACTACTGCTAGCAAAACAACCACTGCCACTGTTATCCCCACCAATAGCACCATCATCAGCACCATCATTACCCCATATCACCATCCCCATCACCACCACCATCATCATCGTCATAACCGCCATCACCATCAACACCATCACTACCACCACTGTCACCACCACCACCATCACCATCATCATCACCGCCACCATCACCAACACCATCACTACCACCACTGTCACCACCACCACCATCACCCCCACCACCACCATCACCATCACCACCACCATCATCCCCACCACCATCAACACCAT